TATGTTCGGTTTTCATTTCATTTAAATATTTTGGTATTTGTTTGCCTAGAGAAACTATTAAAAGATGTGCCTTGAGTGGAACTCAAAGCAAACAAAAGGCAGTAAAGTAGGACAGGCAAATGAGTGGCAGATAAACTTGAACTAGCCGCAACCCATATATTTTCAATTGCTTTAAGTTCCTTTGTTAACTTGCAACCTCCTCAAGTTGAAGTCTCTGGCCCAGTCTTCAGTTGCTGTGACTAACTCCTGTCTAATCAGCTAAGTAATGAACTTGATAACGATTTGTGTACTTTGCAGTCACAGACCTAGGATAATTCCCATCTAGAAAAGCTTGATGGCTGCCCCCTGTAAGTTCCAAGAGTTTCACAGCCGACAGGCTGCTGGCATAAGTGGCTTAATGGGCAGATTGTATCTGTTATGAGGATTGATAGAGCCATGAATGCCGATTTGCCCAAGACATGCCCATGCGGAGTTGCATGACAACCGGCAGCGGCAATCGTTTTATTTAAACGATCCCTAGCCCTGCCCGCTCCCAATTTAGTTCAGCGCCCACAACGTTGACATAGTTTCGGCTCCCAAGAAAGCTAATTTCGAACACAGTTTTTCAGTTATGGTCTACGGGGGGAGCACGCCCCTAATCGCAGCGGCAGCCTTTCCTTTCCTTGCATGTTCAACGTGCATTCGGCCGGAGACTGACTACAGCACGGAACAAGGAAAGCTAGAGCCACAACTGGCAGTTCAGTTGTCAACCCATATCCAGTTTTAGGACTGCAACCAACCCCCCCCGCCCGGCTCCCAGTCACTGGCCAGGACACGGGCCCATTCCAGTCGCCCCTTCTCCGTTTGTTTGGTCTGGCCAAATAGCAACAAACGACGCCAGCGCAGCGACGAAGCCTGTTAAGTGTCCCCGGGGTTCCACCCCCACTCTCCCCACTCTCCCCACTCCCCACTCCTCGCTGTATCCGGATCCATGTCCGTGTTTCTGCTGCTGCTGCTGCTGCTGCTGCTCTCTCTGCTGCTGTACACAAATTTTCAACATTTTCGCTAATATTTCCGTTGCCGTTCATTTTAATGTGAGCCATTTGTTTGCTTTGCTGGTGTGTCGTCTCAGAGTCCTATGCGGGTCACTTGGCTTCCTGTCTGCACCCTCCACTCCACCCCAGGAGCTCCACCTCCAGCTGGCTGGGGGTGGTGCGGCGCTTATCGGGCCACTCTGCGGTTTTGTTTTTGTTGATTTAGTGGAGCAGCCTGTTGAACTTTTCGCTTCGTTGCGGCTACAGGACAGGACAGGACAGGACACACCCAGTCCCCGATGGGCGTCCACGCGTTCCCCCATTCAATTTCCATGCTCGCATTCTGTTTGCATTACCATTGCTCGCTGGGTGGGTCCACAGTGGGACTGGCAGCACTCAAAGCATTAAAAATGAATCATATTTTGCACATTATCACACAAGCTCAATCAATCAATATCTTCTGTTTTTTTTTCGTGATTATGAATGGTAGTAGGAAATTTGCAATTTGAATTAAATTATTTTTGAACGCAATAAGTTTTGCGCGCGTCTCGAGGGGCAGTTCACGGCGCTGCCAGACTCCTGCAACGCGTTATTGCTGAGTGCTGCGCTAGACTTCCAATAGAGGCCGCCACCTGTTTTATTAAATGTCAAATTACGTGTAGACAGTGGATAGTTCCATAATAGGACGTTAGGGAGCGGCACTTCAAAATCAAAGTTTTAATAAAAACAATGACAAAGACCACGTTAAATCTGCTTAAACCCCTTTCGTTTTGGAGTACATTTTATGCTGCAAAAGATACTCTACCCGGGTGCATCTGCTGACTCCTTTTTGAACCTTTTCTTTGACTTTTGGGTGCAGCCAAAAAAACTGGAAAATTTGTAAAAACGGAAACGCAATTGATTGTCACAAACGTGGAGTTGTGAGCCGCCGCTGCTGCTGTTGCTGCTGCAGACTCTGACGCAGACGCAGAAAGTTGTATAATTATGCAATCCGCGTCGAAATTCGTTTGCATGTGCCAGCCAATTGCCAGGCGTGACTGCAGTTGACCGACTGACTGAGGCAGCCGCAGCAACAGCCGCAGCCATCCGACGTTTAGCAGCTAATCGAACAGATATGCTACACCCACTTAACGCCAGGTAGTTTGCAGATCCCGCCCCGAGTGACAGATTTCCTGGTTATCCCATTCATGCATCTCCCTCGTCGCAGCGAAGGGCTCTCTGGGTCAGCGAACTTGGCTGGAAAGACCAGTTTAGGCTGTTTCCCGCTGCAGTTCCAGGCGCCAGTGCGTCTCATTACGCGATCGTTAAATGATTCCAAATGTACGAGCTGCGATGGATGACCATTTGCTTGGGGCGCTGCCATAGACAAATGTCTATGCAAATGACACTTGGTTAGTGGCTTTATAGCAAAGACATAACTCATGCAGCTACGGGGCTTTGTTATGGACACGAATTGCATGAGGGGTTCGTGCCCAGAGTTTTTTGTTTTGCCGCCGAATTGGGCCAGCCGTTGCGTGTGACCTTCAGAGGGAAATTGTTTGTGATGGCAACATAAATTTCTAACCACTGCGGAGATTTGTAAGTGCAGTTTCAAGGAAACTCCAAAACTGTTGGAAGGCTGTCGCCCAAGCTGGTGCGCCGCAGCCTTATATGGATGTGCAACGGCGCCAACGACAACAACATCTTGCCGCAAGGCGCAAGTGCGTGAGTTTGTCAACGTCCAGCTTGATCGGGTGCATTTGTTTATTTTTTTGGTGGACAAGCAGGAAGCAATGTCAATTCAATCGGAAGTAAAAGGCTGAAAACGATCGCACAGGCACTCCAAAAAGGTGTCGTACATGTGTGAGTAGCGTATGTGAGAGACCACGCCCACTCTTGTCAAGTTGACGGAGTTATGTGAGCACAACCCACACACAATCTGGCGATCGCAGTGCCAATCTTTTGGCCATTCAAATCAGGCAGACACAAGGTGGAAAGAGAGAGAGGGAGAGTGGAGGAGCTAGGAAGTGCATGCCAAATGCTGCTCTAATTTTCATGCCGGAACCAATTGCAGACCAAAAGCAAAAGCAAAAGCAAAAGCTAAAGCACTCCCTTACTGACTGCCACTGGCTAAATGCTCCACACACATTGACCGATTACCGCCAGCGATAAGATGAATAATCATGGGAGATATAAATAAATAAATAAACACAAAAACACACACACACACACACACACACTGCAAATAGCTGCAGCACGAAAGATGTGGGGGAAAAGTAAAAGTGGTCCAACATCAACGCCACAACAGACCATGCGGCGGGTGTTGTGTTCGAGAGAGAGAGAGAGAGTGACAGCAGGGGAGAGAGCGAGTCAGCAGGGGAGAGAGCGAGGCTGCAGGGGAGCGAGCAGCGTAGGACATGGAAGTCAAAACGGAAGGCGGCAGAGGGAACGCATCGCCATGGGCAAGTGGTTACGCATTTCATTTGGACCATTCAATGCACTCCAGTTTACGGCTCGGACTGAGCTGCAGTGCACTTCCTGGAGGGGGACACACACACACACTGTCGATGGGGGGGGAAGCTTCATCTATCTGGATTTGATGATTATTAATATGATTGGAGCTGGAGTTGGTGTGAATCCCGTTTGGCACTTCCTTGTGGCCCGGCGGAGGGTGCAGCTGACAGTCAGAGGAAATGGGAATATATGGCAGGCCATTAAGGGAGAGCCATAGCCATGTGTGTATCCCCTTTCGTTCCGCAATCGATACTCCTAACGGTTATGCAACTCTTCCTCCCTCCCCCACACACTGCTTGTCTGGCTGGACTTCCCACTAAGTGAAACGGAACCAGACCGCGCACGCACCTGGAACAGCTTAAGCTCCATAAGCTTTAGCTCCCTCCCCCCCCCCTGCCAACACTCATGTGCAGAGTGCAGAGTAGAAAACGGATAAAATCAAAATGAAATCAACATGCAATTAACTTGCTTTTGGCCAAATGAATCGAACCATTTAAAGAGGTATTCCGCATGTCTGCGGCTGTGGCTGTATCTGTGGCTGTGGCTTCGCCTTTTGACTAGTATTTGGATCCCGCTCCCATTGCTATGTTGCAGGAAATGAAACGGAAAGCAGACATATGAAATGAGATATGAGCAATGCCCGCAATGTTCGGAGTCAAGTTTTGTATTTCTATTGCCTATAATTGGTGCGGCCATTCGGCCAAGTGTTGGCCAAGGGGCTTGCTTGCCACATTGTTGCACACAAAGAAATGCAATTGACGGAGGGGGGAGCCATACGCATAGGCACGTCCCCGAGCATTGCCCTTAACCGAGTTTGGTCGCAGTCGCAGTCGCAGTCGGAGCCATCGAATTACATTAAAAACCATCTAATTAATGCGACACCACCTGGCATATCAAAACATCCCCAAGTCCCATATATCCACAATAAACCAAAACGTGACGACCTTCGGCTTGGACTATTGAACAATAAGAATTCCCAAAAATCAAAATCAAAACCGGCCAACCGCAATCTCTGCCCAGGAAGATGGTCAGAAAGGGGGAGCGGAAAGGGTTTATTTGGTTTGCTTTGATTTCCCATTGCGTGCTATTAATTTGCATTGCCGAAATTCGGCTACCGATGCCGCTGTGGCCGCCTTTATTTTTCAATTTTTTCGGCATTAAGATTTATAACATTTATGGCCATAAGCTTTTTGTGGCGATTACAACACCAAACGAACTTACCTACCCGCAGACAAAGTCACGTTCAACGCCAAAACAAGAGAGTTGCAGCTACGAAGAGAGAGAGAGAGAGAGAGAGAGAGTGTGTAAGCTCGGGCAAAAGCTCAGCTCAGTGTGCGCCTCGTTGTTTACACACGAAACCGTTATCAGAATTCAAGGTCTTCTACTCTCGTTTTCACGCAGAGAGAAAAAGAGAGAGAGCGAGATTGAAAGAGTCGGAGAGTAAGTGCGTGCGTGTGTGTCTGTGTGTGGTGCTCTCATTTCGCCGGCTGCACCTGCGCTGTGTGTATTTAATCGTAAGCCCACAGTCTTCAGCACGTCAGTCGAATCCCCAAAACTGTCCAAGGCAGTGAACAGCTCCGCCACCCAACCCAAGTGATCATCGTAACCCTCTTTTACACCGCGGTATAAGCCAGTGCCACAGATAGTGCTACACTTCGACCTTATCTCCAGTTGTATTCGGGAGCCATGAGGATCCAGCGGCATTTTGTGGTAATTACGAGAAAACAAAACAGTGGAAACAGTGGCAGAAGACACTCTAAATGGGGGTGCCGTTGATGTTGTGGAACTAATAGTGGAGTCGGGCTGAGTCGGTAATTTGCAAATTATATTTGCATAGATTGCTCTTCCAGTGGAAATGGGAGAGTGGATCGTGGTTCAGTGAATTTCTCTTCGTAAATTGCTCAAGTTGCGGATTAAGCGATTGGGGAAGGATTAGGACACAAGAAAGTGCAGAAGTTTAAGCAAAATAGGATGGGAAATAAAGGTTACTTTTGCTTTTCAGATAATACTTTTTAGGAAAAACCTTTAAAGATAAATGTGTGTACATTTCGCTTTCCTTCTGTCCTTGTCAATATCACGATCCACACAAGTTGAGCTTTTCTTAGCCCATGGCTGTCTCATTCCCACTTTTGTCGCGCTTTGTCAACAACTGAAATCGCTTCGCGATCGTTTCATTAGCATCCATTGGGTTATCCATGAAGTGCATGCACTACCTGGTGGGACGGCACGCGAGAGAGTCTCGCCGACTCTTTTCCCTCACGATCGATGATCCAACTGCAGCCCGAAACCAGCCGTCGTCACTTTCTCTGCCCAGCAGGGCGAGGAAGCTGACACACGATCATCGATCGATTCGCTTGTAATTAGCACTATCAGAGCACGGCGATGAGATAATTTTTGCCGGCGCTAATTTTCATTTCATAATCGAATCTTGTTGACATTTGTGCGCCAATTGATTGGGATTAGTTGTGGGATATTTTGAAATGAAATTATCCAAACTGGGAAGGAACTGGGTGTTTGCGAAATCCCAGCTGCGATTGGTGTGGCTGACCTTGTTTGATTCTCCAAATACAGGCAGACGTCTTGCAACATTTGCCCTGCCACAGCCACAGCCACAGCCGCAACGCCAACGCTGACTGACTGACTCACAAAACATACGAAATAAATGTTTGTTTAAAAAATAAAGTAAAATTTGCATAATAAAACAAATTGACCAAATAAAGAAGGGCCACGCCAAAGAAAAAAAGGGGAAATAAGTCGTTGCCCTGCCCTGGATGAGGCGGCGCATCTATCATCAGCCAGGTCTTGACCCAGGTCAGGCATTGTGCGAACCCATTGAAGATTATGCAACATTTCTCAGCCGGTGATTGACCAGACGCTGACCCACATTTCTTTTTGTCTGAAGAATATTGAATTAATTATCATTGCTGTTGCGAATGGAGTTTCAAAATCTCTCTCTCTCTCTCTCTCTCTCTCTGTTTCAGCTTGGTCTTCTTGGTGCGCTCTCTGTGGCCATCGGTGGCAGCCAAGGCAAGGCTGTGGTGGATCAACAGGCAGCCGGCAAACAGGTGGACAGCAAGAGCGTTGCCCAGCAGCGCATCGACTTGGGTGGTTTCAGCGATCACATCATCGATGAGCATCACATAGATGAGCATCACATAGAGGAGCACCACCATGAACACCACGAGCACCACCATGATCCTGGTTATTGGAAGAAGAAGGTCACGTGGAAGGAGGGCTGGAAGAAGATATGGAATCCAGCCAAGAAACAAATCTGGAATCCCTCATGGAAGAAGGTGCGCCTCGAAAAGGAATCAAGTTCCACCTGAAACTGCTTTCTGATTGAGTTTTTGTTCTGTAGATCTACAAGCCACATTGGGTGAAGGTTCCCGGCTGGAAGGAGATTCAGGTGCCAGCATGGAAGCAAATTTGGGTGCCCCACTGGAAGGAGATTTTAGTGCCAGCCTGGAAGGACATCCAAGTGCCCGACTACAAGCAGATCTGGACACCGGAACTAGTGAAGGTAAACAGCCATTGCACATGCCACAATGACAAGTTCCGACTAATGTTCCGTTTCCATTCTCAGGTTGGCATTCCCGGCGAGAAATATTTGGGCAAGGATCACGAGGGCTGGGAGTACACCAGTCACGATCTGTGGAAGAAGGTCAGTCAGCAGCCTACTCATAATCATTTTGCAACAGTTTTGAGACCTTTCTCTTACAGAAAGTGGTGTGGAAGTCACACTGGAAAAAGATTTGGAAGCCAGCCAAGAAGCAGATCTGGGTGCCCGACAAGAAACTGGAATGGAAGGAGGCCTGGAAGCAGTACTGGAAGCCAGCAAAGAAGGAAATTTGGACCGATAAATTGGTATGAATTTGATCACTATAAAATAATCCTCCCGGCATGAATAATGATTTCCCATTTTGTAATAGGAGTGGAAGGAGGCATGGAAACAAATCTGGGTGCCCGGCTGGAAGGAGATCTGGGTGCCTGGCTGGAAGAAGATCTGGAAGCCTGTGGTCATATCCGAGTGGTTCCCCTCGCCCGACCATCACCATGATCATCATCACCACGAGTCTGGCTGGGATTGGGACCGCAAGGATAATGGTGTAGCGCCCGCAGGCGTCGCCTCCCCAACTGCCACTGCCACTGCTAATGGCAAGGATAAGGTAGTGTGGAAACGCGATGACACCAACGCTTCCGCCTCAGGCAAGCCAACGGTGCTGCAGCCAGTGGCCAGCGCCGATTTCCAGGCCAAAGCACTGGAGGCGGCCAAGTCGACAGCTGCTGCCGGACCGGCAGCCACCTCGCAATTCAAGTTTCCCGGTGCGTAGGTAGGGTGGAGGCATCAGTGGAGCCATTCGCCATTGCATCACTGCACCTGCAACCTGCAACCTGCAACAGCCCGTGCCCAGCTCCTTGTAAATAGTTACAAACCAGTCGCTAGCTCTTAAGGCCATCCATCCATCCACTTCCACTTCCACTTCCACTTCGCCTTCCATTTGCTTTGGCGCCGACTTAAATTATCTCTAGACTTAAATGTTTAATTAACAACAAAGTGAATACAAATACGAATTAAAAAAACATAAATAATATCTAAGCTAGGTTCAGTCTCTCAGCGGGCATGGTGGCCCTTCTCCTGCTCCCACTCCCACTCGGTGGGAGCATTCGGCAGCGGCACCCACTCATTGTGGACGGTCGGTGTCCAGACCTTCTTCCACACTGGCTCGTAGATTTTCTTGGTGCGCCAATACTTCACCCAGCGCGCATTCCAAGTGGTTTTGTTCGCCCAAAAGCCGTCCGCCTGCGGTTCCAGTGTGTCTGTATGTCGCACGCTGTAAACGTGTCATGAGGAGGTATAGGTGATAGGTGGGATGGATAGGTTGCTTGGTGAAAGTGGTCTAGTGGCTAGTGGTTATGCAATTGGCTCACATGGTGGTGGTCTTGCCGCCCAGGCAACAGCTCACAGCCAGGCACAAGAGCAGTAGCATCGCTGTCAGCCGTCGCAAGGGAAAGGCTAAGGCTCCTTCTTTGATGTTTGGCCTGGGCATCCTGTCTCCGCTAGTCACCCCTTTCATGTTTCGCAATCGAATGGCAGCTCTATTATCTCTACACTTCATTTTATGGCTCACAGCTTACCTGTCATGCTTTGCTCCCTAATTGAAATTCAGTGCGCCCGGGCCAAAAGCAGCAGTACCATCACCATCACCATCATCAAACGAATGAATTGCAAATTCCCGCACTTGGCACGATCTGATTTGCGGGTGAAAATGGTTGTAAATCCCAAAGCGATATTCACACTTATATAAGAGCCATTTCTCGGTTCGTTTGCAGCTCTTGTTTTCACACATTGGCCACCAGATAGAGGAGATATTAGTTATCTATCCATACGATCCACATTCCTAATCGTTTTTTGTTGCATTTATTTCTTAAGCCTAATGTAAAACGTTGCAAATGAAATTCTGTATGTGTGGACAAAGCTTAGGAGTAACAAATTCATGAGCTCATCTCTTTGACAGAAGACAAGCTCAGAACAGAAAGTATTAACTTAGATTCGTTTCGTACAATTCACGCAGAGTATTGTCTATAACATCCAATATATATATATATATGTATATCTATAGTTTACACGCAGGTATCTATATGTTTAGAGTGCATTCAATTTAAGGCAAAGTCACCGATTAACTGATGGTTACAGGTGGATAGTGTGTGAGCGATAGCATATAGCCTATAGTTTCCATATAGAAAGTTTCGTTTGATTTTTGATTCACTGTTACAAAGCTAGGTGATCGCGGTGCTTAACACTAATTTAGAAATAATATGGCACACTTAGCGCAAAAAAAGAGTTCAGAGTATGTGACTTAATATTAGAGGGATACACAAACAGTACGGACAGTAAAGACAGCACAGAAATGGGGTTTGATTTGTTTGATTGAGTTTGTCTGTTGATTTGAGTTGATTCTTCGCTTCAATTCCTTGCTACGCTTCGCTCTCTGCTGGTCTGTGTCAGTGTCAGTCTTTTGAAATACCATTAGAATCGATTCATCTAGTTGCAGTTGTTGCAATTTGTTCGTTCGTTGTGTGTTCTGGGAATGTTCTGTGGTGTGTGATTGAGTTTGAGTTGGTGGGTGGCTGGTTGCTCGATTGCTTGCTTGCTCGTGGGCTGTGCACATATACAATGGCTAGGCTAACTTAACTACGGTCTAAACAAGTATGATGAGTACAATAGATTCGAGCTGAAGTACAGTTAACCCTCACTCGAAGGACATCAGATTGGCTGGCAATGGCTTTGGCACACGCATCGTGGCCAGCTTGCAGATGGCGTTCGTCCAGAGGTGCGTCATTTGCGGACTGTCGGTGCGAAACTTGTAGACGGTGCCCAGAGTGCGGTGGTACAGCTCGAAGGTGTTCTTGTGCTTCGTGTTGTCGCTGACGTGGGCATACCAGCCATCCAGTGGGCACACCTTGCAGGGCTCGCGCTTGAAGTCACTTCGCTCGCTGCCCTTGAAGGACTTGGGCGGAAAGTAGACCAGAGAGTTGGCCCAGATTTGCAGCCAGTATCGCTGCCACGAGGCCACCGCCGGCTTGCGCCCTTCCTTCTGCACGGTCTTCCGCCGCACGCAGCCCTGCATGGCGGCTGCCGCCTCCGGGGACATCAGATCGCACTCGCTGCCCGTAAAGTCACACAATATGCCCTCGGCGCTCTCCAGCGATGTGAGATCCGCATTGGACAGGGCATCGCTGTGCTCCAGCACCGAGTCGTCGAGCAGGTGGTGTCGCGGCACCGCTCCCTGGTCCAGCTCCAAATGCAGCTGATGCGGATGCCCGTCGCCGTGTCCGTGCGTGGCAATCTTTCCAAATATGCTGTGGGTAAAGGGATTCCGTTTTAGTTATGGTCTGGGTGTGCTGGTTCATGCATCTCAGCTATGAGACAAGAAATGAATGTAAAGCAACGAAGGACGAACTGCGTTTCAGTGTGTGTGCGGTGTGTGTGGGAAGAGTGTGGAAACAGAAAAGAAACCAAAAGAGGCAGATCAGAGTGTGTTTTGTGGTTTGTCTTTTATATAAAGCATTTCCAACTTGGGTCCGTGCACAAAACTGAGGAGACAATAACTTAAGAGCATATTTGAAACGAAATCAGGTCTGCGGGTAGAGGTGGGTACTGGTTTTTGGCTACGGTATATCCTAGCTACAGGACTCACCCACGGCATCTGCACCGCTTGTTCGATATGGTGCCAATGCCCGGCGCAATCATCACAATGCAGCATTGACACTTTTGTGCAAAGTTGCGCGGCAAGCTGCTGCTGCGAAATCTATGGCGCAGTGCATCATTTGAGGTTTCGCGGTTGCGGTTGCGGTTGCAGTTACACATTTTTCGAGTACAATTACACAAATCACAAAATGAAAGCAGAAGCCAAAGCAAAAAACAATCAAGTGAGAGACAGAGTGAACGAGAGACAACAACAGATTAACGATTAATAAAGACCCAGGTGTAAACAATGTCCAATTGGCGCAGTGATTTGGGTGGGTGGAGAGATTAGAGGTGGGAGTTCCGAGTGGAAAAGACGGAAAACTCTACTCACTTGGTGCCCAGACTGCGGCACTTGCGATGACCGGGCACAAACTTTGTGCCGCTGGCCATGCGCATGGAGCCAATGGTTTTGGCAGGCGAGAGATTCAAGCAGCCCAGGGCTGGTGTGACGGTTTCCACATTAAACGACTCCTTGGAGCTGCAGGACGACGAGCTAGGCCCCGAGGGCGATGCCGGTTCCAGATTCAGTGAACGTCTGCGAGCAAATCAAAGGAAAGTTATTTAAATGATCAAAGTTTAGGGTTTTTGTAGATTGATTTTACTTGTACTGATCCTCCTCGAATATGTTCTGCAGCTCCTCGATGTAGCGTATGGATGTGAGATACTTTTGCGTTGCCTCATGCGGCTGCAGCTGCTTGTAGTCCGACTGCTGATAGTTCGAGATGACACGGAGTATGTTGTTCATCTTGTTGCGACGCTGCTCGGGCTCCAGCCCGCCCTTGTGCGGGTGCGCCAGATCGATGTAGATCAGGTCGGTGAGAAAGAGTCCCAGATAGGGTATGCAGGGCAGGCGGAGGCTCTCCAGGTAGGCCCGCAGGTTCGCCCAATTGTTCTGGTCGCTGAATATGTCGCTGAGTCGCTCGAACGACTGGCGATCCTTCTTGGACAGGCACGCCCACGTCTTCTTCAGCCTATAGATGCTGGCGCTCTGCATGGCCGAGATAATGGCGAACAGCGAATGAAGATTGTTCAGCTCGTGCAGCTTCTTGGCCACCTAGGGGAGCCGAAAGTGGGTGATTTCTGTTGATTCTGTTGATTCTGTTGATGGTTCCCTGCCTCTCACATACCTTAATGAAATGCGTCATTGTCTCTGCACGCTGCTTGGGCTGTTCGCCGTTCAATATCTCCTGCACTGTCCAGAAGCTGGTGTGGTTGAAGCGCTTCGTGAATGCCACAATGTTCGGCGTGACCACATGCTTGTCCTTCTTTGTCCAGGCGCAGCTGCTCAGCTCATCCGGCTGAATCAGCGCAAACACGGGAAAGTCCAGCAGCGTGATCTGGTTGGCCAGCACATCGGCGGGCACTCGCAGGGCGCTCATGATGACCGCATCCAGCTGCTTGATGGATCCATTTGCAGGCAGACTTTGCGACTTGGAGGACGGCGCTGCCGAGGCTCTGTTATGGAGAATTATTCGTTAAAAGTGAGTCCAATTTGAGTTTGGGTCGATCACTTACGCTATGCTGTAGTAGCAGCCGGGCGAGTCTGGGGAGGACGAGAAACTGGTGAGGCATCCGATGGAGTTCTTGCGTCGCGTGCTCTTGATGTTCAGCGTTTTGCTGGACTGCTGCTGCACCAACTGCGGCTCCAGCTGGTGCTCCTTCTGGCTGTTATCCTGCCGCAGGCAGGCCATGGTATGCGCATTCCCATTCGGACTCCGCTGCTTGGCTGCCAGCCGAGGCTGTTGCATGGATGAAGCAGTAGCCGGAGCGGGGGAGCTCTGTTTGAACTGCAACTGCGTAGCGTACGCCTGTCCAGCGTATCCATTATAGTCAGCTGCGGGTTTTCTGCTCAACTGAGGGATGGGCAAACATTAATCCAAGAGTTTTCGAGTGGCCAATCAAGTGGTGCTTACCTCCGAGTAGCGCAGATTATCCGTGGACAGGTCGCGGGAGATTTCCGAGTATCGCATCATGGCAACCAGCAGGCGTGGAACGTGTACAGCACAAACAGACTGCAATAAACGATGCAACTTGTGAGTATAAACTTTCCTCAGGCAGAGGAGTGTGCCGCGCTTGTTGCCCCAATCAGCTGCAATTGGAATGAACAAACTGCACAGCTTCGGGCTCTAACCGGTAGCTATTGCTTCTGGTCGCTTACTGAAACCAAAGTTTGTTTTGCTGTTCTGCCTTGTGGCTTTTGTGTTGCACGAACAGCGGAAAGGCGGCAGCTTCTGGCACGCTTCGCTGCCCAATTTCCAATGGAATGGAATGGGCTATGTGAGTCACGAGCACGAGGC